TTTGTTCACATGTTTGACAATAAGAGCAGTTCACTTGGAAGTAGCACATAAATTAGATGCAACAAATTGTATTCTTTGTTTCACTAACTTTATAAATAGAAGAGGTCGACCCCGACATGTTTATTGTGATCGAGGAACAAATTTTATTGCCACAGAGAGGATTTTAAGAGAAGAATTGAAAAAATTAGATCCATATTTAATAGCTAACGCATTTGTTAATCCAGAAATAACTTTTCATTTTAATACACCTTTATCTCCACACATGGCTGGAGTATGGGAACGACTAGTTCGAGCAGTAAAGATATCCCTCTACAATGCATTACCATCAAGAACACCTTCAGATCAATTACTTAATAGCTGTCTATTAGCAGCAGAAAATATCGTTAATTCACGACCATTGACATATTTACCTCTAGATTCAGAAGAGTCAGAATCTTTGACACCTAATCATTTTCTTTTGGGTTCTTCTAATGGTGATAAACCAATGGCTCAAATTGATGATGATATCAAAGTTCTAAAAAATAGTTATTTATATAGAGAACAGTTCGCTAATAAATGTTGGCGTCGTTTTGTCACGGAATATATTCCTACTCTTCTACTAAGATCAAAATGGTTCACGCAAACTAAACCACTTGAAGAAGGAGATTTAGTTATTATATGTGATAAAGATTTACCAAGAAATAATTGGCCAAAAGGAAGAGTAATTGAAGTTAAGAAAGCAGCTGACGGTCAAGTAAGAAAAGCAAAAGTCCAAACACTGAATGGAATTTTTGAAAGGCCCGTAATGAAGTTAGCAAGACTTTCTATTAATAAACCAGAACAAACACAGGGTACATCACACTCAATATGAAGCTGTAGTGATGTACCGGGCGGGAGTGTTAAGAATAGTTTATTAATTTGTTCTTTTTGTTTCGTTTGATTAATTTGAAAAGTACTTGCGCTCTATATTGTTGTAAAATTAACCAGCAAAATAGAAACTTTGTCAAAATTCATTTTAAATTTGTCAGAAATCCACTAAAAATCTAAGCTCAGAAGTGAGAATTTATAGAGGCTAGCGTGAGTTATTTGTATTTATTATTATTATAAAATTATGAGCTTATATACATTTTAGGAATTTGAGTGCTACTAGCACAGCTAGAAATAAATTATAGATTTTTGAAAGGCACTACAAATCTAGTCTCATTTCCAACACCGCGGTTTTGAGAAGTGGAAGGAAGTTGTCAGTTGAGAGATGAGTTCGCAGTCCTGTCCAATTTGGGTTAAAATCTACAGTACCTAAAGTGTCAGTCCGGAAAGTTTCTTGTATTGCCTCGGTAACAGTCTTTGAAAAAGTAGCGGAAATATTTTGAAAGAAAAAACAATTAAATTCGTCAACATTTATGTGCGTGCTAGCTAAAAATTTGGTGTAAATAATTAATTAATTTTACGTGTGCAAAGTAAAATGTAAGTACTTTAGTGTATAATAATTTTCTGACTTTTATCAATGATTCTGAATGATAAGAAGTGAATTAACAATGGTTTTGAGAAGTGGAAGGAAGTTGTCAGTTGAGAGATGAGTTCGCAGTCCTGTCCAATTTAGGTTAAAATCTACAGTACCTAAAGTGTCAGTCCGGAAAGTTTCTTGTATTGCCTCGGTAACAGTCTTTGAAAAAGTAGCGGAAATATTTTGAAAGAAAGAACAATTAAATTCGTCAACATTTATGTGCGTGCTAGCTAAAAATTTGGTGTAAATAATTAATTAATTTTACGTGTGCAAAGTAAAATGTAAGTACTTTAGTGTATAATAATTTTCTGACTTTTATTAATGATTCTGAATGATAAGAAGTGAATTAACAATGGTTTTGAGAAGTGGAAGGAAGTTGTCAGTTGAGAGATGAGTTCGCAGTCCTGTCCAATTTAGGTTAAAATCTACAGTACCTAAAGTGTCAGTCCGGAAAGTTTCTTGTATTGCCTCGGTAACAGTCTTTGAAAAAGTAGCGGAAATATTTTGAAAGAAAGAACAATTAAATTCGTCAACATTTATGTGCGTGCTAGCTAAAAATTTTGAGTAATTAATTAAGTAATTTTACATGTGCAAAGTAAAATGTAAGTACTTTAGTGTATAATAATTTTCTGACTTTTATTAATGATTCTGAATGATAAGAAATGAATTAACAATGACTTTTAATGCCTAAAAGCTTGAGTGATTTTTACTAGAAAAACTTTTGACTTTATAATTAACTGTGAAATTTATTTGCATAAATATCAATAACTCGAGTGTTTTGAAAATGGAACATTATTGCATAACTTTAATTGCCTTCAGATATAATGACATTCTAATTTAATTGTGCAAAGAAAATATGAAGGGAATTTATAATGCATTCAACATAACATACTAAGTATTTGTTCTGATTAAATAAACTATCAAATGGAATAGGAAATTTTGAAAAGAAACTTGATGTTCATGATATAGAATTGTCTTAAAATATTGGAAAGTTGTTGTTCATGAACTTTTGAAATAGGGATTTTATTTTTCAAGTAGAAATTATTGTAAGGTTTTAAAAGAATAAGTTAGTAATACCTATATTAATAGACAAATAGGTAATTAGTTTGGGGTTTTTCATAAGCAGGTTCAGTAAAAGTCTTAAAGAATTTATATAATTAAGTGAAGGGTAGTTTATTAGGAATGAATCGGAAGTATTGAAATGAGTTAACTCATAAGTTATGAGAAATAGTAGGAATGGGGCGTTTCTTTATAGTAGGATAAACGTAGCTGCATAACATAGGTGGGGGTGCAACAAATTAGCAACAAGCTGATTTCAGCGGAATTGTTTAGTAACCGACCTCCTATTTAACCTCCCAAAAGTCCCATTCAGTCCTAGGGGTGGAAGGTTGCAAAAAAATGGCTGCCATATTGGATTTTTTGTTTTTTTTTTAAATATCTCAGTTTCTATTAGTTTTTTCAAGAAAACTCAGGAAACCTTTTTTGTGGAGAATTTGATTCTCTATAAAAAGTGTTTCTACGTTTTTTTTGTAACATGAAGGATAACAGAGATATTGTTTTTTTTAGAATTTGATTTATAAATTTTTCACTTTTGTTGAAGATCCAAAAAAGTGATCCACCAAAGTAAGTAGTATATTCGCTCCGTATAAATTGCAAGTTTTTAGGGTCTCTATTGGTCATATTGATCGTGTGTGGAGTCATTTTGTTTGTGAAATTTTGATCTTTTGAACCTTGTAAATTTTTTTCTAGACTTCATTCTTGGTGAGCCAACAAATCCAGTTTAATTACTGGGATTCAAATAGGAATAGAAAAAAAAGGTAAGTAAATTGTATTACTTATCAGCAGCACAAAAATTTGCAACCTCATTGGTCGGCCAGTTATCCACTAACCAATAGAATAATAGAATAATAAATTTATCTTGCAGATAGTTACCAGCAAGTTTATGTGAAGATGAATAAACCGGGCCTAAGCCAAATAAACATTCTGTATTAAATTTTATTCCTACCATAATCAATCTTGATATGGATCTACCTGTGATAAGGCCTGCTTCCAAAAGGAAGACAAATATTAGCTTTTTGGCCATGTGACATTTGTCGCAAGGTTCTATGCAGAAATTGCTCTGGAGTAAGGAGCTCTGAGATTCGAGTTCTCATAGTGAAAGTACGCTGCCTGAGATATTTTTGTCCAAGCTGTATGGACTGCTGCTTCCAAGCACTGCCGGAGTTGAGCTCAAGACTTCACGCATTCGAAGCAGATATGGAAAAGCTCAAAACCAACCAAAGAGTTGTGCTATTCAATCAGAATTGTGTGTTATCGAGGATGATGTAGCAAAATTAGATAGAGGGTTTTCTCCTATTCCTGCCAATAGTTCTATTCCTTCCATATCTAGGAGGAGCTCCGGAACAGCTCTAGGGCTTCACGCGCTTATTCCTTTCGAAAAGTGTTTGGTGCACCACGCATCTGTTTATCTGCAAATCGGGGACGACTGAACACCGTAGCGAGTAGCTCGAGTGTTTCAAACTCTTGAAAGGAGTACAACTATTGGCTAGCTCACTATAGATGGTATTAAAAACGGAATGGGCTGGAAGGCACATGCAAAGCCATTCTGGATTCTAATAAGGAACTTGTTGCATTCATGTCCAAGTCCTATACACGCCTGGCAAGTAAACATCTTGCATATCAATTTTAATGCGATAGAATGAAATATCTAAACAAAGTCTAAGGTTGAATAGAGAACGAAAATGATTTCCTCTGTTCCACCTCTAGCATTCCCAGCGCTTTTTACTGGAGGTGGAACAGGGGAAATCGTTTTCGTTCTCTATTCAACCTTAGACTTTTTCTAAACATTTCGAAAGGGATAAAAGTAAAGAAATGTTTGAAATATTTACTATAAAAAGCTCTGTATCTCCGTTATCTTTTATGTTACAAAAAAAAAGTACAGACACTTTTTATAGAGAATTAAATTCTTCACAAAAAAGGTTTTTTGAGTTTTCTTGAAAAAACTAATAGAAACTGAGATATTTGAAAAAAACAAAAAAATCCAAGATGGCGGCCATTTTTTGCAACCTTCCACCCCTAAGACTGAATGGGACCTTTAGGAGGTTACATAAGAGGTCACTTACTAAACATTCCCGCTGGAATCAGCTTGTTGCTAATTTGTTGCACCCTGACCCCCCAGATTGACTCAGCTATTATTAGTAGGGATATTTCAGTGGTCCGTAATAATAACAATTTTAGAACGGATGTAAAGTAATTGATTTTATAGAAATAAATGAGGCTGTCAGAATTGGAAGATATTTGACTGATTAAAAATTTTTGGTCTTATGTATAATAAAATATAATTTAGTACACCTCAATAGTTTGTTTCTCTCTCTTGCAAATAGACCCTTCCACAGATTTAGGTAGCAGCTCCAAGTAAATAAACACCATCAATATACCGCTCGCCATTTACCATCTAACTTATATAGAGTACTTGGGGCGTTTTGCTACAGTAGACTTATAACTGAATATCACTTACCTAAAGCCACTCTGGCACTGGTAGCTTCGTGATTGATCCAAAAAGACACCCACGACAGCATCACAATCAAAATGCTTGGAAGATAAGTTTGGAAAATGAAATAGCCTATGTTCCTTTGCAGTTTGAAGGACAAGGACAGCCTCTGGTAAATACCTGAAATTTGAAGTCTTGAGCCAATCTGATTGGTTTAAAAACTTCTGATGGAATTACCTGTCGCCAGTTTTTCTTTTCTGTCGTTCGTTTCGTAGCCTATAATTGTGAATTGTGGCAACTCTGCTTCTTCGACACCTCTCACTGGCCTGTTTTTCCAGTACATTACCACGTCCATGACTGTATATCCATCTAAAACAAATAAAAATAATAAGTGAGTAGGTACCTAGTTGGTATAGTGAGTAAGTAAGTTTTTAATGGCTGGAAAGTTGCGGCATACGAGACTCTCTGCAAAATAACCATTAATGTATAATAATATAGGTTTAGATAATTTCGAGAAATTCGATTTTTTATTAATTGGTGAATTTAATACTTACAGCTCTCGATTTCTACCGTACAATTTTGCGAATCCAACGGATAATAATGAAGATCCATCATGCAGGCCAGCGTTGTGGTAAATCGCATTCCATATGTAATCGATCCGTCGCCTTTTAGACGTACCAATTTGTTTCTTTCAGTTACGTCATGAAGAAAACTGAAACCAAATATCACATTGGTAAATATTAATTTTTGTCGGACTTAAATAGTATATTACAATCCGAGACCTTATATAGTTTATCGAGACGCTTAGCGTCGAGATAAACTAAACCTCGAGACAGCAATGAGGTTTTCTGTCGAGGTTTGTATACAATTTTATTTTCAACTTCAATTTTTTATTGTACAAACACCTTAATATCTTGTCGAAGAACTTTGATAGCCTTAGAAAAAATCAGCTTTCCCTTTTTTTTGTCATCAATTCTGACAGTCTCAAAGATCGAAAAACAAGCAGAAAAATTGGGACAGAAACGCATTTTCTCGTCCATGGCAGGCATATATGGCCGACCTGAAAAAAATTTAAAAGTATGTACAGTAATGTGACATTTTCAAGATTTTAAAAAGCCTGTAATGTCAACATTATATGAAACTAAAATTAAATAACATACACTTATGACGTTTTCGATTGGTAGATCTAGTGCGGAACTAGTTGATTTTTTTCTATTTCTGTCTTCTTCTTCTACAGGTTGATCAAAAGGATGCAAATACACTAAGTGCGCGTAGAATCTACCAATCGGAAACGTCTTTATTGAATTTGAGAACATTCTTTGTACCTGTTTTTGTCGTTAGCAAAAAATGTGTCCGGAACCCAAATTTTCTCAGCAAAATCTCCAGACAATGTCAGAACTTCCTCTCCAGTACTGAAAGCCAATCTTTCATCCTTCCAGTATTGATTTAAGTAAAGTGTTATCGTGTAATCCTGAAAGAAATTAATAGTTATTTGTATACCAAGGCCGCGAAATGCCGTTTAAGCATACGTAAAGAATAGTTATCTAGATAATCTGGAGGACGCTAGAAATATTCGCGGTTATGGTATACACACTATATTTTGTGCAACTATCAAAATTATGTGAAGTTACAGAGAAACAAATATGGAGATAATAAATATAAATAAAATAATAATAAAGAAAAAAATTCAATGAATAAAAGAACAGATACCTATTCAAGATTTAAGTTCCATATATTAATATATCTTAACAATTTAAAAAATAAACCCGTAATTACAACCTTTACCTCAACTATTAAAAACCAGAAATGAATGAAATGAATCTTAAAATTAAACATAGATAGCATACAAAATTTACCTAAACAAAATACTTTGTTTTAATAACAAAACATTTTTAAAATCTTTACATTTTTAATTTTATATTCCTTATACAAATTTTATATCTTATGCAGTTTCTATTTTAAATAATTCACTTACAAGTAAGTAATAACTTTGTAATTTTATTTTTTAACTTATATAATTTTAGCCCCGAAGAAGGTACGAAAAAGTACCGAAAGTTTGGTTCATAATAAAAAATTATTTGAAAAAAAAAAAAATTGTTTGGCTGATTTACCCACTATCAAAGAAAAAACGTAAGTTTACAGAGAAACTGTATGGATTTGAAACATTTTGCAGGTAATCCATTTTCATTTACTCAATTAAAGTTTGATTTTTCCTGTTGGGATGTAAGTTCAATGATAGCCACAAAGCCACAATAACTATGTAGTCATTCCAGGTATTCTTTCGATGTGAACAAACTGATCGAAGCCAATTGAGATTTGTTTCAAAAAATTTTTCACGAATTTTCCAACAAATTAACGACTTCCCCCCATAATGAATCTCCCAGACCTAACTTGAATGCAAAAACTATTCTGATTCTGGACTGTGCGCTTTAGGGTCAACTCTATCATTCTCAAACTTTAAAAAATTTCGACAAAGCATCAATAATTTTTCACGAATTTTCCAACAAATTATCGACTTCTTCCCGTAATGACTGTCCCAGACCTTACGTGAATGCAAAAACCATTCTGGACTATGCTAAATGGTCAACTCTATCACAAGAGCTTGGTGGTAGCCCTGAAACAATTTATATGCGACGTTGCAATTTCTGGCATTTTCATGTTTGGACTGGAATTAGCGCCACGCCACGCAGTGTTGCCAGAATTGAAGGATTTCCTTCAATATGAAGAGTTTTGATCTAAAATTTTGACTACTGAAGGATTGAAGGTTTTTATCCGAATTTGAAGGATTTTGAAGCAAATTGTATATTTAGTAAATATTCCAATCAATTAATTAGGCATGAGAAAAAATACAGAACGCCAATTTTTGCTACGTCACTGTGTCAGTTAGTGTACTCTAACCCAAGGATAACTAGCCACTACTACTACAGAATAGCCTAATCTCATAAGACCTGTGTGGAACAAATCTGAAGCCCCTCACCACGCCAAAGTCGCCAAATCACCAATTGTGACGTGACCAGTATGTAATTCTTGACTTGAAGAAGGCTGTTTGCACCACAGGTTATGATTCGGCAGGCTTTTGCTTATGCATACTGTTTTACTCATTAATTAATATTCTAAGTGCCGGTACTTGACAGCTGTTAAACATTGACCAGGGGTTTGAATGTGCTCTAATCACATGATACTCACCTGGCCCATGCAAAACTTTGACGACCTATCAAATTCGTTAATCGAGAGTAAAAGTATTGGCCTTAAAACAACTTTTTCAAATCTTGTTTTCTAAGCAAACCTTGTAGTGTGTATTATCCTTGATAAACCGGTTCAGGATTTAATAGGTCTGTGTCTGCAGAAATCACAAACCAGTCAGAGTGAATTTCATTGGTTGAAACTAGTTTTCTGACTGTTTTCAACCAATGAAATTCGCTCTAACTGGTTTGTGATTTCTGCAGCAGGAAACAAGCCTAATATGTTCTGGACTGGTTCGGAATCGGTCCAGAATGTTATCCGCTAACAAAGCTCGGTAATAATAATGAAAAGACGAGTTACTTTGGGTTGGTTTATCAGCGCTTCTCAGCAACATATTAACTTCGTTCCAAGACAGCTGGAAACCCTATAATTTACTCTCGAATTTACCCAAGGATAATACACACTACACGAGGATTGCTTATCGGCCTATTTTTGGGATTCAAGATCATCTGGTGTAGCACCGTTGCTACGACATCAACTATGTCGGCAGCTATTTGCGCCAGCGGTCGCAATTTAGAATATTCAAGTAGAAGCCAGCGGAATTATAGCTTGTGGTCCAAACACCCTACGTTAAAGCGTGAAACAACATGCTGCTACGTCATCACCGGTACTTTGGCACTTTCAACCCCCTGTAGATGCTTTAGGGTTGCGGTGCAAAATTTAATAATTATGGCGCAAAATGGTGCAAAACTCAAGGAACAGTTTGTTCTATTATAAATTGAAATTTGACGTGACGGGGGGCCAACTTTTTCTCTTGCAACCCCTTGTAGCGGCTTAAAGGTTGCGGTGCAAAATTAAATATTTATGGTGCAAAATGGTGCAACATTCGGAGAACAATTTGTGCTATTATAAATTGAAATTTGGCGTGTGGCGTGGCCAGTGGCCAACTATGTCTCTTTCAACCCCCTGCATAGGCCTAACGGTAGCGGTGGAAAAATTTACTATTTATGGTGCAAAATGGTGCAGAAAACGGAGAACAATTTGTGCTATTTTAAATTGAAATTTGGCGTGTGTGGGGGGGGGGGGGGGGCAATTATTTCACTTTCAAGCCCCTGTAGAGGCTTAAGGGTTGCGGTGCAAAATGGTGCAAAACTCGAAGAATAATTTGTGCTATCATAAACTGAAATTTGGCGTGTGGGGGGAGGGCAACTATTTCTTTTTTAACCCCCTGTAGAGGCTTAAGGGTTGCGGTGCAAAATTCAATATTTATGATGCAAAATGGTGCAAAACTCGGAGAACAATTTGTGCTATCATAAATTGAAATTTGGCGTGTGGGGGGGGGGGGCAACTATTTCTCTTTCAACCCCCTGTAAAGGCCCAAGGGTTTGCAGTGCAAAACTTAATATTTATGGTGCAAAATGGTGCAAAACTCGGTGAATAATTTGTGCTATTGTAAATTGAAATTTGGCGTGTGGGGGGGGGGCCATGGTTAATTTGGCACCCCCCCTCCCCAGTAATACTTCCATATAGTTTCTCTCCTGAGGGGGTGCAAATTTTTTTTCGGGTGGTGCAAAACGGTGCAAAATGGGTGCAAAAAAATGGTATAAGTTTTAATCGATTTGGAAATATGCGGGAGGGCTAACTTAACTGACCCCCAACTATCACTTATTGAAATTTTCTATAGATGTACCAAAAACCCTGTAACATTGGTTTGCTGTTCGATTTATATATCTTAATTTTTTTCAAGTCGTTGGTTTAATTTTTGTTGTTGTTTTATGGTATGAATTTGCCGCCCCTGGATCGTGCCGCCCATCTCGCCCCCCCCCCCTTAAGCCGGCCCTGCAATTGTTAGACATTTATAGTTCGATTTTTCGATGAGAGTATTGAGATCATTTTCTGTTATCTCTATTTCATGTCCTATTTTAAGCCGTGAACCACGACAATAAATTTATAAAAAAACTTGTATTTGCCGTTTCATTTTCAAAATTTTAAAGTATGAGTCAAATATGCGCTTATCGAAAATCCGACTATATAGCAGGTCTTTGATAGCAACTTCTTTTCTGCGTAAAAGGTGCAAAATATGCATGCGTGCTCCGTATCACATTGGGATCTGTCTTATGCGACCCACCAAAATCATAAACAAAGCCCCGAGTGATACAGAGTAGGGATGTGCGATGTTCATCGATTATTGAAAAACATCGATGTTTAATACCCGATGTTCCGATGTTTCGACATCGATGTTGAAATTTTAAAATATCGATGTTATCATCGATGTTGGCTGTAAAAATCGACAATAAGAAAAGGATTTAAAGATAACTTTTATTTTGAACCATATATGTAATTTCCACATTTCTCACTAGTTTGAAGGTTCGGAAATGTCACTTTACCTTTGTTTACTTTTAAAGCAGGCCGAAAGTGATGGTTCTCCTGTCACTTTCGGCCTGATAAATTGTTCTTTCACATCTAAACATAAATCCAGGTGCAATAATGTTTGTATTTAGAAGTAGGTATCACATGTGCTGCACATTGCAAATGTGTTTATATTGTTGAAATTTTATAAGATGTCAATGTCGGAGTGAGAGAGTGTCATTCGAAATTCCATTTTTGTCAATAATTAATAGTTCAAAATAAAATATTATACATATTTCGGTGGAAAGTTTTCACATATATTGTCTTGAGAATGGGTTGTATTATTTATTTATTTATTATTTATTATTATATTTCATTTTATTATTAAAAGTTTTTTAAAAATTGAAATTTTCTTGGTTTTCTCCATTTGAAGTATCGATGTTACCATCGATGTCCAACATCGACATCTGTGCTCGATGTCGCATCCCTAATACAGAGCATCTTCTAGACCGCGTGCTCTGTACTACACAGGGGTTTGGCTTTACGCGACCCGGTCGCATATTCATTTTCTGCCAACGTAATAGGACCTTCGGCTGCATTCGTGTTCGTTCGAGCACAGCGTAGGCAAATTATGATTGAAGTGGACTAACGTTGACAGTTTAGAGCCTGCCTGGCGTTCGGGAAAATATTCTCTAAATAAATTCAGTTGGAAAGTGGCAGTTATTGTTAGCTGTTGGTACGTTTTAATGCAAAATGCGATAACGAATGAAGAAATAAATTTATTGAAAGTTTGAAAATTAATCATTGTGTATATTCAAAGGCCCCAGAACTTTTTTGGTAGATTTGAGTTAGTTTCGGTTGGTTTGCGTTAGTTTGGGATATTTTTGGTTGGTTTGGGTTAATTTTGGTTGAAAAACCGCACTAGGCGCTGTTCCTTTC